ATGGTCAGAGTGTGAAGAGGTAAATAAGTTTTATTATGCTCACTTCTTTATAGACCGAAGGTTACCTGTTGGTAAGCCATGTGTCACTTGCCGTATGATGCCGTCCGGTAAATAATAGCTCGATCTAAGATTGTGCACAAGTGCGCTTGCCGTTATCAGTGATTATTTATCGAAACTTCACTACTTTCAGCATTGGTCTTGTTTCGAAAATCTGTCTATAGGGAAGCCAACGAGCGTTATAAAGTTACTGTAATGTATGGCAGCCTAATGATTTCAGCTTTCCTATCTTTAAATTAAATTTTTGTTCAACGTTTATGCAGTTTCATTGCTTGCTACGTTCTGGAACACTGCCGATTTCGATAACATTTACAGTTACACTGAAACTGTTTCTCACGCAGCAGGATCATTTAGATCCACGTCTTAGAGAACGCTCTGCCAAGCTAATAATTCTATTATATATTCCAGGTAATCAATGAAGGCTAGTTGATCAATGTGCGTCTGCTGTATGTTACCATTTTGCCCTCATTCTCTTTGCTATTATACGTTCTGCTCTAGAAAAGTTAAAAAGCGTTATATTATATCCAGAAACCTTATACACATTTTCTATGAAAACGATGACAGGAAGTTGTAAAGTTGCAAGAAAACTTGGAGCTCACTTGTCAGCTTCATTTGTTAATATATACTGAGCCTGCATCTGTGACGTTCACCTAAGTAGGTTCTTTACGAAGAAGATAAATATATTTTGTACCACTTTTACGTGACATTTATTACATGTGAACTATATGCCAAGAAGCTCGTATTTCAAGGATTTATTACGACAGTTAACCTGATGAATCAAAACAAGTTTAAAAGCCTACTCAGGAACACTTTTATTAATAATGGATTATGAAGTATGCATATACACCAGGTTTCCATTTACAACTGTCACATTTATTATGCTCAGCTGTAGTCCTCGTCATTATTTCCGTATCTAAAGGGTAAAACAAGTTACTTATAAATAGTAGAAGCGGTTATGAAACCAAAGTGAACGTTCAGTCTACTATTAAAAACTTTGAAGTTGCTGTTAGCACGGTCTTTCACAAGTAGTTCCTTAGTCAAATGATTGTGACAACGAGAGCTCTTTGAGGGCTCACTCCTATTCCATTCTAAGTAACCAACTAATATTGACCTTTGTCAAAATATCAAATTAGCAATAAACAACATTTCAGCAAGTTTTTCTTATTGTTCTTATATCACAAAGGAGAAAACAGATACGTGCACGCAGGTATGTGCATGAAATAAGTAAATAAACTACCTAAACGATATGTTTTTCAGCAATGATGAGTTTGTACAATTGCGATCTATTGATATCTTCATGCATATAAGTTAAAATCATGTCAACTCTTACAACCTGGGAAAGCATAGTATGAGCTCAATACCGTATTGTGCAGTCGTTATTATTATGCTTCCACTTATATGTCCTAATGTATTGGCGTTTCGTTTAACGGTAAGATATACAAGGGGATCAGGTGTCCGGAAAAATAACATCGTCAGTAGCTAAACAGATTTTTAATGAATATCCAAACCCAGATGCAGTTAATTAAGACGTAGAACACTTCTTTTCTAGGACAGTATACTGCCCTCTTCAAGGAACGAAACAACACAGCGAGTCGGTTGTCCAGCTAACAGTTTTAACGCTGGTAAAATTGTTTGACGGTAGCAACGTATTGTTATCTCAGAATTTATATTGAAAATTAATAATAATGAAATTCAAATACAGCCAAAATCAGACGTATAGTCTACAAACGCACGCCGACAGTACTTATCACCTTCTTCTAAACTAAACACCACATTTTGATGCATGGCAACAGCAGCTTCCAACGTATTTCTTTAGTATTTGAAAGAGCACTAATCTGGACCAATATTCTCATTTAAAATAGGCTGATATGGGGGTCGCTATAATTTCCTTGTCGTTTTTAAGGAAAGCAAAGTTATTACTATAGGTCTACATAATATCCTATCGCACGTGTAATTCGTTGATCAAATGAATCAGGAATGTTAGGGAGAGATGTGATATAATATACATGGGGCATCATTATCACGTTCTTCCGATTCCTCCTGTACTGCACAAATTCTAAGCTTTCAACTTCAGCTTCTGGGGACAGACATGACAGAATCTTACACTCATAATTTTCTAACTTCGATGCTTAAGCACGTTAGTGGAAATGAAAAATTAAGCGACATCGGTTGATAAACTTATGTGCTTCATCGCTTCATTCAAGTAATAATGATATATTGACGAAATTGAGTTATACGACAATCAGAAATACTAAACTGAAGAGGTGTCAGAATTATTGTTTCATTTGGATAGACATGTTACTTAAAGTAGCTGACTATAGATGAATAAGCGTATAAACCCCGAAGATAAACTATAGGCTAATATGACATACCTAAAAAAAACACGATGTTGTTTCAAGACCAAAGACTACAGTAATTTAGACATCGAAACATGGTTCACGGCGCAACAACCAGGGATGCATTTACCCTCAAACATTTCTCTATCATTTTCTGATGGTCTACTTCAAAACAACTACGACTGTTGCTAAGCTTTCTATGACATGAGATATCATTCCTACATTTATTACGCATGTTCTGTCTCGCATTGCCTGAAACAGTGAGTAAAAATTGCAGCCAAAGTATAATCTAACGTGTTCATGAAAACTACGTCCAAATCTGACAAACCTATCCACTACATGAATATAAACCTAACCGATATTTCGGTCTACGATACAGTCAGTTGACATGATAACTTTGACTATATTTCAACTGGGTAAAATAATATTTGGGCATAATAGCTCATGTAAGTTAGTAATGCAAGGCCTATTTCTCAGTCCTAGTTCTTCACACTAATTTGCGATCCTCGCTTGACCCTGGAAAGAAACGCTATGTGATCTTACAAACTCCGAACAGCATTATATGCAATGTTGACAAAATTTCTACTACTTTCATTTATTTCGTATATTTAGGCAGATATTTGGTGTAATATGTGAACTACAGCTACTAGAAATAGAAGCTCGTTAAACAAGGGCTTCTTCTATCCCATGTAAAACCATTAAAATATTCACGTTTCCACTTATTGACATTAGTAGGCTTGGACGTTCATCAATATGTTGAGGGGTATGTGATTTAAGTCAATTGTTGCAAAGGATGAACAGCACGGCGTACTCAATAGAGGTGTGGCATAGATGTTCGAACAAGCACCTTTAGCGAATGTTTGTTCGGCATCAATGTCGATGACTTACAGAACTATTAATTGTAAGGATTTATTTATCGCTACACATCTATTAGTCATTGGACTGTTCCAGGGCGCTATATTTAATCACACGCTTTGTCAGCGCAGGCATAGTCCAAAAGTCATGCCTACGGTCCCCGCTCACATGTTACATGTTGTCGAGGGTTTGTGATGTCGTTATTTATCAGCTATTCACAAACAGTTACACGCTAAGATTATCGGTATACCTCCCCCATGAAACTACTAAGACGAAAATAAAAGTGGGCAAAAGTTTATTTATGTATCATTACTACTTATACAAAGACAGCGACATTTGATGCAGAAAAATCAATTTACAGGTTGAATAAATACTTAAGTTAAAAATACTACTACAAAGAACTTCTTATAGTAAAAACTTCCTGTCTCGTCTCCACACCTTGTTGTATTCCGATCCTTATTTTCTATCGTAAAGAATAATAAACAAAAACAAGTGTTAGAGAAACTACAGTCTTACCTAGTTATCGATGACCCTTAAGTAAAAGTTGTCGACTTTCCTCCCCTCCATCACCGCCAACCATTCACCATATTTCTCAATAATCTGTTGTTTGTGCATCATTTGACTTCATTGAACCAGTATATACTGTTCGCTTCGTCTGGGTAATGATGTTGTAGTGTTATTTTGGAAGTTATGTGTGTTATTTATCGCCCATCAGCTTCTTTGTCTAAGAATATGATGAGCTATTTAGTTTATTTCGTGATTTATTAAGCTTACCTGTAAAAGTTCGCCCTCGAAACTTATCCAAGATTCATGTTACATCTGCTCGAAATTCTTTTTGCGTCCATGCGAACGGAACAGGATGCTACAGTCCGAAATTATCCCTTATTGCCAACTGGAATAACGAATATCTAAAAAGTAGAACTGAAAATAAAACATGAATACTTTTTATAATTGGTGTTTAGAGTCGAATCAATACAAACTACTTCTGCATATTTGTTATATAATTATATCTGTTCATAAGTACTAAAGTAGATTCTGGAGACATTCATTTTCTGAATACTCTCTTAATTCACCGTTTTGCCGCAATATAACAAATACTTGCAGTCGTGTATAACAACCTAAAATATACTTCTAGACAACTACCGGTGGAGAGGTGAACTTTGATACTTTTCACATCAGCAGCAGTAACCTGCTTATCAGTTCGATCTTTCATACAGGCTTCAAATTTTCTTCTTCGTTTGAGGACAATCTACTGGTTCATGGATCACAAACCATCCATGAAATAGTACAAGGATGATTGTGAAGCATCTTGTATGATTTTATGGCACATTCATCACTGTCCAACTTCATGGAACCTGGGGTGGAAGTTTCGAAACTTAGACCTTAAACGTCACATGTTAATTGAAGTTCTCACGGTTTTTTTATCCACTTATATAACCAGAGGTTTACGCCTATGACCAAATGTTCAATGAAACACCAAACGAGTATTTAAATCTCATGTCCTTCAGAAGTTTACCTTCGCCTTGAATGTAATGAATATGGGTAGTCTGGAAGGGATAGAATTATTCTTCCATACTTTTTGGAACTCTTTTAAGACACCATCGAATTCAATCGGGCTCCCGAAACGTCTGTCCAGTTTTATGAGTTTAAACACGTCGGTTAATTCCATTGGAACGTTTCTTGAACATAAATCACTACAAAAAGCACTCAATAATTATTAAAGAAAGTTATTTCTTGCGATAATACCTGTCAGGCCGTTCAAGGTCGTTAAAACGAAACGGCGGGCGGCCTTGAAAAGCTCTGACTAACGTCCCGTCAGTGCATATAAGACAAGAAACAAGTTGTCGGTTTTTAATATTTGATTTTTTTGCGTTAAATACTACAGTGAATAACAAACTGAATAACCTGCAAACTGAACTTCTTTGCTTCTATACTTCTTTGTGCTGGACGTGTAGTTTCCATAGTACGGGAGTCTCAGGAGCAGCCATAGTTCCCAACTTTTGAAGAAAATCCTCTATTACAGGTAAAAATTTGATAAGTCTGACTCACAATTTCACGAAAAATGCAACCCGAAATTCACTCGTGTCTACGGAAAATTCCGAAATTCGTTAAAATCTAGGGGCTTGTATCGTTTAAACGTTAGCTAGTGCCATCGCGAGGTTAACTCACCAAATCAGCTACAACGTATTTTAGCATTCAAGCTAGTTTCAGTTCGTGATGATAAAACCCATAACTTCCATATATATTCGCTTCGTTTATCGTGAAGCTAATTATCAACCAAGATTTCGTTACTTTTCATTGCAAATGATGCTACAAATCATGCATTTTACTCACTGACCAAAACGTAATTCAATGTAGTCTATTTAATTGAAGTTTACCAAATTCTCTAGTTGTAATATATTACTTGCTGTGTGGATTGTAACAAAGTATATTTCGAAGCATCTAAAAGTCATTCCGTAAATCCTAATCATTGTGTTATTATGGCTCACCATTGTTAGTTATATATTCATTGGTTATTTTATTGTTCAGATCAACGGCTTATGTGTAGTCGTGCACACTTATGTAGAAGGGATTAGGTTTATGTGCCAGCATTAACCCGTTACTCTTCTCTTAAAATCTCGTCTTGCAATGTTTCAGATGGCTATATATATATATATATAACACATCCATGCGTTTCATAAAATTCCACTATAACCTGAATGTTTAGACAGTCATCTCGCTCAAAGTGATTAGTTTATCACTAACGATGTACATTTCAGCTTTCAACGTTACTATGAATTTAAAAAAGAAATATAGCTGTTTATTAAATGACAGGGATTAGAACTGAGCATTTTCTCCATATGTAGTCTTTATCACCGAAATAACATAATATAGGCATTAAGTAAATATGTGGATGGATGAGTTAGTTTCAAGAGTTTTAAACGTTTGGCTTGCTTATTTGAACTGTGCTTCATCTACCTTAGTTTGAAAATCTAATTAGTTTGATTGCATTAACGGTTTCAGGAATGTATCTTACATATGACTACCTAAAACTGGATTACACCACCTATAAATGATTATATTTTCACTTGTGAAGTAATGTCGACGTACAGTAACAATGTCATATGTAAGTTGTCTATTCAACTATGAAGATTTGGGAGAGATCACGCTCCTTGAGTTTAATATAAAAGTAAAGGGCTTTATAGATACAGACTTATAGTTGTGACTGGATAATTATACTCAAATAATAACTGTTACGCTAACTAATAAAACTACCCTGGTTTTCTGACACTATTTATACCGACGTTAGCACTGGCTTCTTAAACTAACACTTTACGAAACACAATTTTGTAAAGTTAGGAACTAATGTCGCACTGTTGAATGTACTGGTGTTTAGGCCTTAGTTTATTAGGTAGATAGATTTTGGTCTGCTTCTTTGGATCCATTCGAAATCCACTAACTGGATTGGAACTATGCTTTGTGCTAAATAAATTCTCAAGGACTCCAAAAATTATGTTGGTCCAGGTTGCTATATTTCTGGGAGTTGGAAAACTCTGATTCCAAGCCAATGGTGCACATGGGCTCCAGTACCCTGAGGAACAATTGGCGTATGAATCAACCGTTGGTCACCGGCTACCATGGGACTGCGTTTCCTTGCGATGCTCTACTGCCTTGTGGATCAGACCTTTAGGTCGAAGGCTCCGGGTGTGTCCTCCTAAGAAAACCACCTGCTTCAATTTGGGCACCTGGGCAGTATCACAGCCCTCGTACAAATCAAATGAGATTTGTATGGTGCATACATATCGTTTGCCTCCTTGGTCAACTTAAATAAAAGTGAAAACGATAGCTAAACACGAAACAAAGCATATTTAGTTTCCATATACTAGAAACCTTACTACTAGGTCAACCCTAGTCTTATTTGATAAATCCAGTTTCAAATTCATTTATTTGAAAATTTAGGACCTGTCTATGAGAGTTACCATAAATTTCTACTTCTGAGACAAAATAATTTATTGTTTCTCCTACTTTGTTAATGTTGATCTTTAAATCTCCGTTTTGAATTTATTCGGTTTCCCTTTCCTGACCTAAACAGGCAACTATTACTGGAGTTAGTTTACTTTCATTTACACTAATTTTGAAGTATCTTTAAAGGTATACTGGAAAATAAATTGTTATGTTTTTTTGCAAATTCTGCCTTCGAATGAAGTTCAGTACGTTTATTTTAAACAACCTCTTTCTACGATCTTACTCCTGAAAGATTTACAAGTAGGATTTCCGTTCAGATCTCTAGTTATCAGTTACTGATCAATATAGTGCATTCAGTATCTACCTTTATTTCTTAAATTCTCATCTTTAGTCAAATTTGTACACTGTTTAATTAACATCAAAACCATGATTCTTAGTCTATCTGTTATAGGTGGCTAACTTCATAATTTACTTTGCATTCAGTGACGGACTCAATATATTTTTATTTTTAGGTGTACACAGTTTATTTCTATGGATGATGTATTCAATAGCGAAATATCTGATGTCCATTCAGAGTTAGAAGTTGGGTCACGAGACTGGGAACGTCGTTCTGAGGAAGTTTATAGTGCAGGCATACGAGAAGGATATTTTGCTAAAAGTGACGTTGTTTTACAAAAAGAATTTGATATTGGTGTTGATCAAGGATTTGCATCGACGTTTGAACTGGCAGTTTTAAAGGGGCGATTATCAGTAAGGTTATACTATTCAACAGGCGAAAAACATTTGAAAATTAAGAATCTCGTTAAGTCAATTGACGAAAAAGAAAAACAGCTTATATCACTTGGTTCTATAGAAAAAGATCTAACTTACCAACAGCTTGTACATGAGGCTGAAATTCTCTTAAAATCCTAAACAGTATACTTATGGGAAATTTTTGTACATAGATTTCGTACTCTTCATATTACATCTTCTTGTTTATTCTTTACAATATTTGTTGATCCTTGGTTCCAATAATTGAGGGGTTAGTATTCTTGAACAAGTCAATTGAGCAACCACTATTGTGCAGTTTTTTCTTACCAATTTACATACATAATCATAGAAACAACGATCTTCACAACCCCATACTGATAAAACCTGAATTTAATTATTATTTATTTAAACACATAAATATTGGTAGAAGGAAGCACCAGATATATATGCGCCACACAAATCTCATTTGATTTGTACGAGGGCTGTGATACTGCTCGGGTGCCCAAACTGAAGCAGGTGGTTTTCTTATGAGGACACCCCCGGAGCCTTCGACCTAAAGGTCTGATCCACAAGGCAGTGGAGCATCGTGAGAAAATTCAGTCTCATGGTAGCCGGTGACCAACGATTGATTCATACGCCATTTGTTCCTTCAGGGTACTGGAGCCCATGTGCACTATTGGTTTGGAATCAGGGTTTTCCAACTCCCTTATGTGGATCCTCCACATCCACCAACCCGGTTAAAGCGCCGGACATTTGCTTTTCGTCCTCTCAAATTCGTAAACAACAGTAAGGCAGTGAGTAGGACTTTCCTGGCAGAGGCTATATACGCGTGGCCATGTGAGAGCATTTGGCGAGGGAGAGCGGACTCGGCTGTACCAGGGCATTTGGGGGCAAAAGATGTGAATAACCATTGTAATATCAATGTAAATCTTGGAAGTTTTGGAAGAAACTAATTAAAAATAAGTAAATATTTTATATTGAATGTTTAAATAACAAAGAAGTAGTGAATTAATTACAACACTTGACATTCATTCTGTTACCGTGTCTCATGTTTGAATTGTGCTCTTAAATAATCCAGTTTTTGTTGGCATTGCTGCCCCTTACAAATGGGTTGTCGGAGAACGGCGTACACAAACGGTAATTGGTTTTTCAATTATATTAAAAAATTACTAATATTCAAATGTTGAACCATGAATAAGAAAATGAAGGCATCTTAGTGGTTTAGATGTTTAAGTTATATACACTAATTTTCAGGTTCGAACACCGCTCTGCCTACTTTGGTTTGGGTAACCGTGTAGTATCATTATCCCCCACCTAATCCTCTTACCTGGTAAGAGGATTAATTAATTTCCTTAAGTTACGTACTTCAATCATAATTAGTGGTGTTTATGGGGTCAATCTTCAACTAGTGAAGTAAGGGTTTAAACCGTCTAGCACGTAATTGGATCTTAGCACCTAGATTTCATCTTCGAGATCTTAGGTATAGGTCCTAACCTAATTCATGGACATGGATGATTACTGAATTGTTCCCAATTTCAAGATTTTAACATATCTGGGGGAAAGACAGGCTGATGCAATGAAGCACTCCTTACATAAATATAACTATTATTGTTACTCCTCTCAACAGTGAGTGAAGAAAAAATAAAGTTGGGGCTTTGTGAAAGAATATAAATAATAAGCTATTATGGAATATCGATAATGTAATAAGAAGACGAATAATGATGAAGTACACGTACATGTGACAGGTTTTAAGCTACATCAATCCTTGTCTCAAAAAATTAACCCACTGTCACCAGGTATGATAATCCACAGCCTCTAACCAGTCACTTCATTTTGCTCACGATTATATGAGATAGATATCATACTGAAGTCAACCATGACGAACGTCTTCGTCGTTCATGTGACCCTAGTGTTCGTAACAGTAGCACGACATAAAGGAAGAGGGTTCCAGTTTAGTGGTTTCAATGTCTGTCATAACCAAAGGATATCTTACTTATCGCAAAAATGTTTTTAGTTTACTAGAAGTTCCTATCGTCCAGATAGATTACAACTATAGTAAGCTTACTACATTAAAGCTCCATGAATATCTATCATCTAATAGTAGTGAAATTAGTAAATCATTTAATAGACAGTTACGAGTTTTGGTGATTGAAATTGTGTTAACGTTACCATTGTGCTTACTAATAAATGATTTAATAGTAGGGGGACTTTTTTTATTCCTTGCTCAATTTCTATAATATAGGAGTATCTCATCTACAACCATCGATTTAAATTTTCTTTGTAAATATCTAGGCAATTAGCTGATGCGTTATCTTAATAGTGTAACCCTTCATGAGGTTCTTCACTATCATTCGATTCTGAACGTAGTTCGTACAATTCTCCTTTCACAAAACATGTCTTTTTAATATGAGGTTGATAATCAGATGAACTGCATGGTCTATTATATCGAATGTTAACGCACCAGACAGTGATACTTAAGGTCGTTCGTTAAATTTTTATTAGTCTTGATATAACCTCTCATCCTTTGTTTATCATCTTGTTGCTTTCCTCCCTTTGTGTTGGCATGAGGTATGGAAACTTCAACAAACGCACATTCGGCCTGGGTCCTATGTTGATGAAGACTGACTCTAATTCCCTATCAGCTACAGTTAGGTAGTTATGATCAACGAACAGCATAGAATAATTGTGCGTTAGTTCAAGCTGCCATACCATATCAGTACGGAAAGACAAAGTTAACAACGATAATTATATAGGCTAAAAATTGGGAATATGGTTCGAGAAGAAAGAATGATAAGGTATGCATAAAAGAATCCTAGGATTCATGACTCAAAAGAAAATAAACAGTGAAGGCATCTGCACCACCAATTCTGAGTCACATTATCCAGTACCACCCATTAATTGTAAAAACCACTCTGACACCAACCAGGTGTGATAAGAAAGTATACATGATATTTATTAGCTATTCAGAAGTATAATGAAGACTGGATTGTTGAGTGGGTGGAAATACTTACCACCTAGTATTTCAATAACTTAAATGTACAAAAATCAAACTGACCTAAATAAAAGCTATAAGATAAGATGTAGTATTTTATAAATATAATTGTACGATTGAACATAGAATCTTCAGTAAACTGTTGTTGAAAGGTCTAGTCGTATAATGGTTTTCGAAAGTCATACAGTGTGTATATTCATTCAAAAAGGATAACGAGGTCACATTTACGTAATTGTGTAATCTAATATTTCGCCCATTTTCTCTGGCATACATTTAGTTAGCAACTTAAGTGATAGGATTCATGAAGTCATGAGAAAACAACCAGGTAGGACGCTGTACATAAGTGAACCGAGTCAGATAGTCATGTTTCGTATTTGTAGGAATATACCGTTAACATAAATGACCTACTTACTCCTGTTGCCCTTCGTGGAGGGGCATAGACAGCCCATCAGCATTCTCCATCGATAACACAAATGAAATGACATCAAAATATAAGTCTAGAAATTCGGAACAATTAAAGCAGTAAAATGTTCAAGATTTGCACGAAAATATAGGTTGAATATATCTGTTCCAGTGTGATTGATTTTGAGTAGCGTTAATTTAGTTCAACATCCTACTGTAATTTAGACGGTCTCAGTCGACTAGTTTATATTTCCCTAAATAGCTTAAGCTGACAGCAAATTACCTTACAGACCGATGTCATCGGTCTCGTCACTTTTAGCTATTATGTGACGTCTAGTCCGGTTAGGATCACATTATAGCAGTAAACGGCTAGATATGCGTACCTCATGATGTATAAACACTCTCTTCATACATATTCTGCTGTCAGGATATTACAGACCATAAGAAAAATTGGACATATACGACCTCAATTCAAATTTCTTTTGTCATTTTTGAGGCGGTGGCCTAGTGGTTAAACCTTTGGAAGTTTAGTCACTAGTTCATAAGTTTGAACCCTGTCCTACCTGCCTTCGTCTGGGTAACCGTGTAGTATCATTAACCCTTAAACCTAGAATGTGGCTCGTACCGAGACACCTGGTGAATTGGTTGACTTTTTTAATAAATTTTGTCATTTCACAACTTAATTACTCATATATTTAAATCAGACAAGAAAGAATATTTTTATTAGCTTATTTTTTGACAGAGTATTTCCAATAGGAAATCTATCACTTATAAAGCAGACGTAATATTAATTCTGGTCAGTTCCAAGTAAATTGCATGTGTCTTAGGTTGCTATTATGGTTATGTTATGAATTTTCTATGTCCACCGACTTGGTTTGATGACACTGTTTATGGTGCATCCGAGAGCGGAAGACAGCCCATGTGTTATTCTAATCCGCTTCCCCAGACTGTCAATCAGAACTCCACCAACACCATGCAAGCACCTCACAATATTCTTTGCCACTAAAAATCATTTAAGTTTGTGCATAAAATCCAAGATTATGGAAGACTGCAAATAATAAATCTCAATATAAACAAAACGAAGACATGGATAATAAAATACTGTAACAAAAGTATGATTAATTTGCTACAATTTATGAAAACTGAAAGGTGCCGTTAACCGTAGAAAACCTTATTCAATGAGTGATCGTACCAAGTCCTTTGTATATATAAAACCTTAAGCTTTCGTTTTATTGACTCCTTGTGTTCACTCTTTGGAATATATTTTCTCTTGCTTCAAACTCTTGTTTTGATTTCAAAACAGTCGAACAAAGTAGTGTATGGAAGGAATACTAGACAACAGAAAAATATAAGGATCAAATAAAAATTGACAACGGGGACATCATGAATACACTATTGTAATGATCAGAACACTGATTGGGACAATCGAATGCATGTAGGCACAAATTACAGACTATCTCATTAAATTTTGATAACCATACAATGAACAGTTTCTTTGCAAATTAACAACCAACTGTCTCAATCTTCACTGGGTTTTTTTCATTGTTCATGCATTTTCCTACCGATTGCGCTTCATTTCAGTTCTTTCCTCATCAGTCTTCTACCAAAATACATTCTACGTCTGACCAACACCATATACTACTTATATGGATATAAGTAGACCACACCATGAGTTAGGTATTTAATAAATACACGGTCAAAATATATGTACCAGATTTTCAATGAATTATTTCTGAAGTTGCGTTTATTTGGTCCTTTCTAACAATTTAACTCATGAATAATGTATATTTAAGGGTGATTTTCGATAAACCCTTTATTTTAATCCATCATCGTGCTTAGGT